TATGTCCAGTATGATCATCTGGCAATAGGTCTGTGTGGTCAGACACTGTGCAATAAACAGAATTTTTAGGAACATGGCAAATGTTCACATTGCAGCATGGAAGCAGGCTCACTGTCACAACGCTGACCGGGGAAACAGAGGCGAGGAGACGTAGGATCGGGGAAATGCGGGGTTTAATGAGCAAAAGGAACACACAGGAGCAGTAAAGCAGAATGACAATACAATGACCGGACTGGAGAAACAAACGGAAAAGCGGACTAAATACAATGGACTAATGACAAGTTTGACAACAATCAGGAACAGCTGGTAAACACGGGGAATCCACACAGGGTTAACGAGGGGGCGTGGCACACGGAAGGAGCGGACGGTCGGGGCATGACACTCACTGGTACTGTGAAATTCTCCCGCCGGATAGCAACAATCCATTCGCCTAGTTTCCTCATTGGAGGGAAATGTGTGAAAGCTAAGTACTTTGTTGTACTTATTGGATGCCTGACACAAAGACACACAACAGTGTTCAAATGTTGTGCTATCGGTTCGCTGAAATTTAAACGTTTATTTTGAAATTAAATTTGTTAAAGAAAAATGAATGTGTGTCCTTTTCATGTCCTTTAGTTAATCAATTCCTGTGTACTTTGGAGTACTATTATTGCCACTTACTGAACTGTCTTGGTATGGCTGTAGCATCTGTAGCATTTACTTCCAGTGCTTGTACTAAGATGGGCTAATTATGTCAATCTAGGCACTGAACATATTGAGAAGAAAATGCTGTGTTTTCTTGAATAATACTGGGGGCATAATGCAAATATGAAAATATCTAAAAAGAGCCACTTGACAATAATGAAGGGTTATACATAGGCTGTTTATATATTTGGGCCCAGGGGCCAACAAGTTATGTGTTAAAAGTGTGTTGCATACATAGTACCCCCACCCCTACTGACCTCGGGGGCAAGGAAAAAAAGTTCAGGCTCAGGAATTTTTTCCACTATCAGCCCTGTACAACAGCAGAAGACCCCACCGGGTACCACTCATCTCCACTACAAATAGGAAAAAGAGGCTACAATTTGCATGAGCTCACCAAAATTGGACAGTTGAAGACTGGAAAAATGTTGCCTGGTCTGATGAGTCTCGATTTCTGTTGAGACATTCAAATGGTAGAGTCAGAATTTGGCGTAAACGGAATGAGAACATGGATCCATCATGCCTTGTTACCACTGTGCAGGCTGGTGGTGGTGGTGTAATGGTGTGGGGGATGTTTTTCTTGGCACACTTTAGGCCCCTTAGTGCCAATTGGGCATCGTTTAAATGCCACGGCCTACCTGAGCATTGTTTC